CCATTACCCCCACCCCCACCATTATCATCATCATCATCACCACCACCACCATCACCACCACCACCATCACCACCACCATTACCACCACCATCACCACCACCACCACCACCATCATCATCATCACCACCACCATTACCACCACCACCACCATTATCATCATCATCATCACCACCACCACCATCACCACCACCACCATCACCACCACCATTACCACCACCATCACCACCACCACCACCACCACCACCATCACCACCGCCACCACCACCACCACCATCACCACTACCACCACCACCACCACGTCAGTCATGTTTAGTCTTGTATCTAATGTCATCGTTGTTGTTGTTGTTGTTTACTGTTCATCGCTGCGTGCGGGCGGGAGCTGCGTGACGCCAGGTAAGTGCGACGAAACATTCGTCAGGTGGCGCCACCGTCCGCGCTGCCTTCTCTCCTTCGCCGACTCGCCGCCAGAAGGCGCGAATGTCTTCTTGTTAAATGAGTGACCACGCCATATTTCAACTCGGGCGAGAATCGCTCGAGATAACGTTTTAGCGTGGCGAAGCCAAGACTGAGGATGAGGAGGCTGAGGAAGAAGAGGCAGCGTGGATGGTCCGGCAGGCGTAGTACGGTGAAGTCGCGATGTTCGTCTGCTCGCTACCGGTGATAGATTCGGCGGCGCAAAGTTTACACGCGTGCTCTTGTCGTCTGCCGTTGCCATGGTGACAGGTGATAACTACCCGTAGAAACAGAACCTCTACCTGTGTAAACTGTCACGATCTCCTACAAGTTGGTATCATTGTGCGTTTTTGCAACGTTGTATGTAGATGTGGTTATCAACGATACCATTGTATATGATCATCATTCTATATAAGATTGTTTTTGTGTAAGATTATTGCTGTGACGTCATCGAGGTTTAATCGTACTTCTAATAACCTCGTATGTTACGATGTTATAACATCGTATGCGACACGATCGCGATGTTACAACCTCGTATACGACATTAACGTGACGCAATGACGTCACGTATGACGTCACCGTTGCGTTACAACGTCGTCTGCGACATTATCACAATGTTGTAACCTCGTATGCGACGCTATCACAATGTTGTAACCTCGTATGCGACGCTATCACAATGTTGTAACCTCGTATGCGACGCTATCACAATGTTGTAACCTCGTATGCGACGTCGTATCAACATTGTGTCGGTTAATGAATGCATTTCAATGAATGGTCGCATCTGTCGATCTCCATGGTAACCGCGCGCACCTGTTACCGAATGATCTGGTGCGGTACTAATCGCAGATGGCGCCATAAGAGCGCTTTGTTAATGATATTGAATTTGAGGGCTAACGTGAGGAGAAGATAATTTATCGCGTCGCGCGAACAATGAATAAATGAATGCTTAACGATGCGTAAACGATGGCTTCTTGCGTGGCGTACATGCGTGCTTGTCGTTGTCTGCCGACGTGTATGTATGTGTGTATGTGTGTATGTATGTATGTGTGTATGTGTGTATGTGTGTATGTGCGGTGTGTGTGTGTTGTGTGTGTGTGTGTGTGTGTATGTGTGTGTCGTTGTGTGTGTGTGTGTGTGTATGTGTGTGTGTGTGTGTGTGTGTTGCGTGCGTGCGTGTGTGTGTGGTCGGGCTATGTGTGTGTGTGGTGTGTTGTGGGGCCGTGTATGTGTTGTGTGTATGTGTGTGTGTGTGTGTGTGTGTGCTGTGTGCCTGTGTGTGTGTGTGTATGTTGATGTGTGTGCCGTGTGCTGTGGGGTCGCGTGTGGTGTGTTGTGTGCTGTGTGTGTGTTGTGTGTATTGTTGTGTGCCTGGGATGTTATGTATGGTATGTGGTGTGTGTGTGTGCTGTGTGAATGGTGGTGTGTGCTGGTATGTGGGTGTGTGTGTGATGTTGATGTTTTTCTGTGTGTGTGTGTGCGTATGTGCGGTGTGGTGTGGTGTATGTGTGCTGTAGTGTATGTGTGTGTCCTTTTATGTCGATGTGTGTGTGTGTGTGTGGGTGTGTGTGTGTGCGTATGTGTGTTGGTCGTGTGTGTGTGTATGGTGTGTGGTGTGCCTTGTCGGTCGCGCGTCCTGCTCGCGTGCGAACTATACGGGCCGCTGAATTATGCAGCGTCTGCAGTAAGAACAGCGTAGGGTCGCTACTCGGGTTTAGAACTGTCTGTGTGTGTATGGCAGTGTCAGGTCTCCTGATGCTGTAACACAACGCATACCATAAATATATAAAACACAAGCACACACACAGCACACAGCAAGACACACACACAGAACACACACACACACACACACACACACACACACACACACACATAAAAAGCGACACCACACACGCACACAAGCACACACACACATACGCACGCACCACACACACACACACACACACACACACACACACACACACACACACACACACCCAACACAGCATATACATCCTACATATCCTATATATATCATATATAGTATATATATCAGGTAGTAGATAATAGGCGAAGAGTGTGACAATCAATAAAAGCTAAGCGGAAATTCGCTCCATTTTACTAGCCTTCATTAATACCTCGATTTACTACGCGTACTCACCAACTTGAAGCTCAAAATCGAAATCGTTTTCGCTACGTAGACACCACGCGCAATCCCGGAGTTTACAGACAACGTACGACACGATCTCCATTCTTTGGCGCATCCAATCCAAAGCCATTGCGCAGCCTCTTAATTCAAACAAAAGGCAGGCTTACCTTAAAGCCCGGCGCACACCGTGGCGATTTTTTATCGACAGTACTGTCCGTCGATTTGTTCATCGGCTGGTACTGTAGATCACAAAATCGACCACCTGTGCGCCACCCCGGCGACAATTCAACCGTCTATCAGCCGACCATACCACTGTATGAAACTGTACGTGACCTGTTCAACGCCCCCGCCCACACCACGGCGCTGCCATATTTGATCCACGGTGGTTTCAAATCATGCCATTATTGATGTTAATCCAAAACTGTTGCCGAGGATGCCAATCGCCAGTGCGGCGGCACACGCTAGCGATTGTTCAGCGAGCGACGTGGCCAACCAAATATCAAACATGTTTGATATTCCAGGACGATTTCCTGGCGTCAAAATCGGTGACCGCCTGGGCAGCGCACACGGGCGCATTTCTCGGCGATTTTGTCCGGCCGCGCACAGAAATCGCCGGTACTAGCGATAAAAATCGCCACGTAGCTGCGCCGGGCTTACCAAGCAGCTCCTCGGCTGCTCAAACTCGGGGGCAATGTGGCTCGCTGGGAAAAGATTGACGCCCGATCAGCTCCTGCTGATCTGCAGGTTGTGTGTGAGCGTGCGCTGAACGCATGCCAGGTATGTGGCAGAGGTGGCTGTGTAGCGTTGCTAACCGGGTGCAAGAGGTATCTCGCCGAGTGTTGATGCTAATCTCCTGCAGCGAGCCGAGCCAAGCCTCGCCGAGTTAGCAGGAGCGCGTTAGCTAGCTGCCCTTTTGGTTTGGAATTAGAGGCGCGCAATGGCTTTGGAATTGATGGCCAAAGAATTGGAGAATCGTGTCGTAGCGTTTAGTCTGTATCTCTGCGGATTTGCGAAGTGTATACGCAGGAAAACGATTTCGCCACCAGATGCTAGGCGAATGTACTGTGTCCGATGTTTGAGCCTCAAGTTGGATGAGTTACGGCGAGTAAATGTAGGGTATTATAAGGCTAGTAAATGACGAATTCCGCATTGTTTATTGATGTACACTGCCGCTCCCGGTATTTCTACAATATATACATATATTACTCCTATAATAGTATAATATATATAATATATAATATACTATATAGTATAAATATATATATATATAATATACATAATACATAAATATGAATAGCATGAGTATCGTGAACGAAGCGGAAAACATCTGAACATTTCAATTTTCAATTTCATGGTCAATTTTGGCAACATTGATGACGGCCAAACGATGAAGTGTTTCTGTTACGTGTAAATATATGTATGTGTATATATGTGTGTGTATATAATTATATTACGCGCCTAGTAGTACGTCGGCTCACGTCGCTAATCGCTGTTCTCTTGTTCCTCATTTTGCAGTGATCGCCATAGACACGCACTCTGCGCCATTTGTAAATATTGAATCGACCGGCTGCACGGGCGCCACCTGGGGACCGGCTACAGAAACTCCTGCATCTTTGCGGCGCGCGCTCGCTGCGACGCCTAGCGGCCTTCAGGCTCCCGTGTACAGTGCAGCCATCTTGGAAATCTTTATTATTATTTCCTCTGTCTGTCCGCTTGTCTGTCCGTCTGTCTTTCCATGAGTCTGTCCATCTTGTCGCTCTCGCAACTCTTGCATTTATTGCATCTCAATCCTTCACATGTTTTGATTGCCTAGCGCCGAGAGAGGGCGCCACCAGCAGTTGTAAGGTTTGGCAGCTGTGAGGTTAACAGAGAGAAAGAGAAGAGAAGAAAGAGAGAGGGGAAAATAGAGGAGGAGAAGGAGAGAGGGGGAAATAGAGGAGGAGAAGGAGAAAGGGGAAAATAGAGAAGGAGAAAGAGAGAGGGGAAACTAGAGGAGGAGAAGGAGAGAATGTGAAATAGAAGAGGAGAAGGAGAGAGGGAAAAATAGAGGAGGAGAAAGAGAGAGGGGGAAATAGAGGAGGAGAATGAGAGAGAGGGAGGAAGATGAAGAAAGAATGGGATAGGGGAGGGTTGAGGAGAAGAAAGATAAATGGAAGAAAAGGGAGAGAAATCAAGAGAAAGGGAGAAAAGTGGGGAGAGAGTGGGAGCAGGAGAGGAAAGGAGAGGAGCAAGAAATAGTGTTGAGAAGGAAATTTGGTAAAGAAATAGAGAGAAAAAAGAGATGTGTGACTTTTATCGCATGAGTCTACGGCTACAAACGTCTATAAGCAGTCGGGTGACATATAACAGGGGGAGGTCCGGGAGACGGAGACAGACAGGAAACCTTCCCAGCGCGGCAACCTCCTCCCCTTCTCTTTAAGAGAAAGCTACGAGATTCTTCTCTCTCGACTCCTCCGCAACTTTAAGCGCCGACTCGCCAGGTGGCAGCACCTGCGCGTCGCCGCCAGAACGAGCTGCAGTCGTCGACGACCTCTGACGTCAGCGTCTGTTTTGTCGTCCGGCAGGGAGATAGAGGTGCCCCCTGGTGGGAGGTCGTCGCTGTAAGGGGGTCTGTACAGGGCGTGTAGTTGTGTATTGGTCGAGTACCGTTTTCTACGTAGCTGCAGTAATACTGTAATATATTATTGTTTACACACGTCGTCTGCAGCTGGCACGGGCGGGGCGCTGGTGGCGGTGCGCAGCGGCAGGGGACGCGGACAGGGACTAATCCAGGCAGGGATGTATCCAGGCAGGAATGTATCCATTCTCTTCCCCTCTTCCTCCTCCTCCTCCTATTCTCTTCCTGCTACTCTTTCTCCTCCTGCTCTTCCTCACCTATAGCTCCTCTGCGTCCTCTTCCTCCACCATCTCTTCCGCGGATGCTTCTCCTCCCGGACGCTCTGCCGCTGACTGTCAGTGCGGGCTTCCTCTGGCGTAGGCACGTCTTTTCATCCAGGGGGAGGTGTGGCGGAGAGAAAGGGAGAGATATGGTGCGGGCGGAAGAGGGAGTGAGAGATAGGGCCTTGGCTCCTTATGTTTCTTCCTCCTCCTTCTCCTCCTCCTCCTCCTCTTCCTCCTTGCCGCCTCTTCCCGCGTAATATATATATATCGTGAAACGGCACGCGAGCGGCCGCTAGAGGTCGCCGCTCTTCCTCGAGTGGCGGCCAGGTGTCGCTGCTGCTCAGCGAGCGCCGGACGTGCTGCCATCTGTCGTTGTTTTTATTTCCCAGCAAGAATTTCGAGAATTGCGTCATTTGTATATCAATCGTTGATCTAGTTAGTCATGGCGACGCACGCGCCATCTCGCGGCTCCTTCTCGCACTAACGACACGTCGAGGAGGAAGCGGAGCTTGCGAGGATGGCCGCCAGGTGGCCGCGTGTCGCTAGGTAGACGTCGCGGTAGTTCTTACGCGTTGGTCGAGCAGTCGTTATAAATATTATTTAAACTCTAGCTTTGTTCGTTCGTTCAAGAGAGAGAGAGAGTGATTAAGAAAGAAAGAAAGAAAGAGAGAGGGGCGTTGGCACACACATTTCGTAGCGCAAAATTCGGCGCGACTTGCGTCCGGTTTCTGGTCACTCGGCGTGTAAACGCGACACGGTTACCGAGTACGCACGCGCGTGTGTTGTCAAAGTGGTACGTTGTTACAGTGGTGCATTGTCAAAGCGGTGCATTGTCAAAGCGGTACATTGTCACAGCAGTACATTGTCACAGCGGTACATCGTCACAGCGGTGCATTGTCAATGTGGTACATTGTCAATGCGGTACATTGTCAAAGTGGTACACTGTCACAGCGGTGCATTGTCAAAGCGGTGCATTGTCAAAGCCGTGAATTGTCACAGCGGTGCATTGTCAAAGCGGTACATTGTCACAGTGGTGCATTGTCAACGTGGTACATTGTCAACGCGGTACATTGTCAAAGCAGTACATTATCACAGCTGTACATTGCCACAGCGGTACATTGTCACAGCGGTGCATTGTCAAAGCAGTACATTGTCACAGTGGTGCATTGTCAAAGTGGTACATTGTCACAGCAGTACATTGTCACAGCGGTGCATTGTCAAAGCAGTACGCTGTCACAGTGGTGCATTGTTAAATTGGTACATTGTTACAGCAGTGCATTGTCACAGCAGTACGTTGTCACACCGCCCTGTATCACAGCTGTGTCACACCTGTGTGTCACACGCGACACTATGTATAGTATTTAAGGTAGCGCGACCATCGCACGGACGGTGCTGATACAATACGTAACGATACTATATGATACGATACGATAACTTATTTGTCTCCGATTTTACGTTTGTGTCGACCGATATATAGTTGTCTGTGTGAAGATGCTAGACGTTTGTAATAAAATGTTACTATAGAAGAAAAGTGCCTAGCGCGTGTTTCTCTAACACAAACGTACACTCTGCAACTATCTGCTAACTCCTCACGCACTCCCTTACACGTACACACGCACACACACACACGCACGCACGCACGCACGCATGGGCACACGCACACACACACATACACGCACGCACACACACTCACGCATGCACGCACGCACGCACGCACGCACACATACACGCGCGCGCACGCAAGCGCACGCACACATACATGGACGCGCACAAACGCAGGCGCACGCACACATACATGGACGCGCACATGGACACGGCGTGCGAGGCGGCTCTACACAGCTCTTGAAAAAACACATGTCCTTGAAATGTCCTTACTGAGTACCTAATAGTAATAATACTACCATATAGAGTCAACCATTACGAAAAACCAAGAAAAAAACAATAATACCTCTTCATTCAATATCTGGTATTCTATCTATTTCTATCTTCTCTTAAATCTGAGATGTCTATTCCTATTTAACGTTACTTTTAATCTGATCCTATTCAGGTTATTAATTCTCTCGGGAATAAGTGATCCCCCCTCCTCAAAATGGTATCGCCCATGACCATTCAAGCGTGAAAAAACTTTCACGAGCAAATGGCTGTATTTCAGCCTCAACTTTTTCACCCCCAAAGAACAAAATATGATTTTACGCGCTATAATACGCGTTTGTTTAACAGTCATTTAACAAATCAACACATACACACGTCCGTGACCGGTAACGCCACACTTGCGTTATTGCGTTCGTCACGCCGCGCGTCGCGCGTGTTATTATATGCTGTAAATTCACATTTTGTGCCTTTCGACGGTGAAAAATATTTGGCTAAAATATGCGTCATTTGCTACGTTGAAAGTTTTTCGACGCCTTGACAGGTCTATGGCGGATACTATCCGCGAGTCAGGCGGAGTAAGGAAGTGAAGCAATGCGGCAAAGACAACGGAAAAAGGCGAATATTATATATAATATATCATATATCATATATAAGTATATATAATATAACATATGTGTCTTATATCATAGCGCCCGAGAAAGAAAAAAATGCGAGAGAGATGAGTGAGAAAATTACCAGAAAGGAAATGGAGAGGAGGCAGATTGTGTAGTATTGTGTGTACGTGCGTTACGGCGTGCGTACGCTGCGTGCTGTTGCGCTGCAGGTGCGCTGTTTGCTGTGCGGGCGTGCAACGAAGAAATATTGCGAGAAAGAGACGAGAGAGAGTGTGTGCGACCCCTGTAGTGGTGTCTGTGTGTGTGTGTGTGTGCTGGTGTGTTGTGTGTGTTTGTGCTGTGTGTGTGAGCAGCAGCTGGCGACGTGCGTGCGCGCGTGTGTGCTGTGTGGCTGTTACGCTGCGTGCGTGCTTGCGGCGTCTGCGTGCGTGCGGGCTGATCGAAGAGAAATTATTGCGAGAAAGAGAGCAAAGAGAGGAGAGCGTGTGTGTGTGTGTGTGTGCTTGTGTGTGTTGTGTGTGGTGGCGCGGTTGAGCAGAGAGAGTGCCGTGCGCGCGCGTTCGTGTGTGTGTGCATGTGTGTGTGTGTGAGAGCAGTGCGCTGCGCGCCGTGTCTGTGTTGTGCTGTGTGCTGTGTGTGTGTACGTGCGTGACCCCGTTGCTTGCGGTGCGTGCGTGCCGTGCGCTGCGTTGAGAGAAATATTCGTCCGAGAGAGAGATAGAGAGAGAGAGAGAGAGAGAGAGAGAGTGTGTGTGTGTGGTGTGTGGCCTGTCTGTGTGTCTGTGTGTGTGTGTGGGTGTTGTGTGTGTGTGCTGACAGCAGGGTCGGTGAGAGTCAATGAGAGGCGAAGCAGGTGAGCGCCCGGTGAAGGGAGAGAACTAACTATATTAGCAAGGAATATGTGCATCCGGGTGCCTGTGTGTATGCGTTTGTGCCATACGTTGCGTTTCGTCTGCCGCGATTGTTTACTGCGCAATATGTGTGCACATCTCCGTTTGCCCTCATTTTCCTCCCTCTGTCCCTCTCTCTTTTTCCCCCTTTCCTTCCTCCTGCCCCTCTCAACTCCCTTCCCTCTGTAATTTCCCTCCCTGTCGCGGAATAGTATCGCCCACGCCATCAGCTGCCACGGCTGGAAAAAGCTAGCCAGGCCAACATGGCGCGTTTTCAGCCTCAGATTTTGCACTCCCCAAAGCCACAGAAATCTATGATTATACGCGCTATAATATTTTTACAAACACATTAACGGACGCGCACACGCGGGGCACTAGATGGGTAAACACCCGCCTTTAGCAGCCGCTGCCCCCGTGTTTATCTACTATACTGCATACTGCATACTGCATACTGCATACGATCACTGCTCGAGTTAGATCGATTCGTTGGGCGACAATCTTCAAACAACGGACACGTGAAAACGTCAAACGATCTCATACATACATTTTAATGATTTACGACGCTGAGCAGAGATTCACCGGACACCAGAGTAATCTGAGCATTTCGAACCTTTTCTCCCACATCAGGGCAACTTGCCTTAGTTACAGTCATAAGAGCAAGCGTAGGCAGCGGC